ATAATAATAATAATAATAATAATAATAATAATTTTTAACTGTTTTAAATGTAATTCCAGTGCTTTTGGAATAGCACCCAGTGTGCCAATTACCACTGGAATTACCACTGCTGGTTTGTGCCATAGTTGTTGAATTATTATTATTATTATTATTATTATTATTATTATTATTATTATTATTATTATTATTATTATTATTATTTGCTTTTACTTTGGAAAAAGTAAAGAATTCATTATCCCTGGTCAGATTTTTGCTTTCCTTCTGCTCAAACATTTCCTTGCATATTATCTCTTAGCGAAGGGGCCGCACATTGTTAATATTTCAGTGATAGTTGATAGCCAAAAATATCTGTACTTCAGTCCACATGTACTGTTATAATTTAGCCTGCGGATACGAAGCCCAGCAGCCTTGAAATAATCTCAAAAAGTTTAAAAACCATGTGTTAGAGAAGCATTAGATTGCATGTTAGGAAGAATCCTCACATTTACTCTTAAGATCGTAATAACTTAGAGTGTCCCATTGTATTTCTGCAAATTTTGTTTTTCAGAGTTACCAAGTCTTTACTACAGGTGAGTTTTAAACAGGAACAAAAACATGCATGTCAAAATAAAAATCAAATACAGGTAGTCCTTGACTTACCAGCACAATTGAGCCCAAAACTACTGTTGCTAAAAGAAACATTTGTTAAGTGAATTTTGCCTCATTATAGGACTTCTTGCCATAGTTGTTAAGTAAACTGTTGCAGTTGTTAAGTTAGTAACATGGTTGTTAAGTGAACCTGGGTTCCCCATTGACTTTGCTTATCAGAAGGTGGCAAAAGGTGATTACATAATCCCAGGACACTGCAACTGTCATAAATATGAGTCAGTTGCCAAGCATCCAAATTTTGATCGTGTGACCAAGGGGATGCTGTAAGTGTGAAAAACGGCCATAACTCCTTTTTTCAGTGCCATTGTAATTTTGAATGTTCACTAGATGAATTGTTTTAAGTCGAGAACTACCTATATAAACTCAGTGCAACCTGGGTAATATTTCTTAAGCAGGTGGTGATGCAGAAAGCTATTTAAAGTTAGACTCACTTCATGCTACATGGCCTTCATCTTGTCTCTATCTCAGTCTTTTTTTTTTTTAAAGCTACGGTTCCAAACATTTTAAGAGGGAAGATGATTGAGCCTCACCATTTTGACCACACTCTTCTACATTTTACCAACTCTATTATATACTTTTTCAAATGTCGTAACCAGAACTGTACTGAGTATTTCAGATGTGGAAATACCATAAATGTGCATAAGGGCATTACAATGTTGGCATTCTTCTTGACAGTTATGGTTATTAGAAGGTTTTATTTTAGAGGGTTATGTGAATAAGTGCAACTACTTTCTGTGTCAACTCGGAAAGTTCAGAATGTCCCAGGAACTGCTGATATGGTTCTACAGAAAAATTATTGAGTCTGTCATTTGTACTTCCATAACTGTCTGGTTTAGTACAGGACAACTACAAATTTGAAAGGCACAAATTTCAACGGATAGTTAGGATTGCAGAAAAAAGATATGCAGTGGAGACAAATTCCTTTATCTAATCACACTTGGCCAATAAAGTATTCTGTTCTGTTCCATTCCATTTTCTATCATGTTCTTCAACTTCTCTTCATTATATTGATTTTTATAGTGCATTATAATGTCCTTTTGCTACTACTATACTTTTTGGTCTTTGAAAGTAAGGTATTCCAAATGCAAACATACTATAGATTTGTATGAGGATATTACAATGTTGGCATTACAATGTTGGCATTATTTTCCTTTCCAAATGCTGCTGTATACTTAGTCCACATGTTCATCGGGCTGCCCATTACCAGCTTTAAAGTCTTCTTCAGAGAGCTTAGATTTCATTAGCATACTGTATATGTGAAGTTAGGATGTTTTACCTCTGTGCATCACTTTACATTAAGTTGAATTATCAACTGGTTGGCCTTTCATCCAGTTTAAAGATATCCTTCTGCAATTCTTCAGTAGTTTTGGGTTTTTTTTTATCTGCCTGCAGAGTTTATACAGTCTGAAAATTTGGTCAGCATAGTGCTTATCCCAAGAGAAGATAATTTATAAGACGTTTTAAAAGCCCTATCCTGAAAATAGATCCTTTAGAAATTCCATTTCTTAATAATTTCTATTGAGAAAATTGCCCATTTATGCTTACATTTAACTTTTTGAAACCATTTAGACATTCATAAAAAGACAGATTATCTTATTCCACAACTGCTAAGTTTACTCAGAGCCTTTAATGGGGAATAATGTAAAAAGCTTTTGAAAATCCAAATATTCACAGTTAACAGTTGTAAACAAGACATACTATTTTGCCTTCTGCATTATTACAGGGATGTTACTCTAAAATCCCATTTGAGAAAGATGTTTTGCCCACATGGAACTTGAGATGTTGAAATAATGCAGCGTGTGCTACTTTATTGTATCATTTATAGATATATTTGTAATATCCCGCCTCTTTTAATCAGTACCCAGGTTGATGTGACAAAATGTAATTTTCTTTTCTTGGATTGTAAGCCATTTATAACTCCGATTGTAGCAAAGCATTGGTGCAGAAATTATGAAAATTAGGCATTAATTGATGAAAGGTCTCCCATAATTGTAATATTTTAATTTCATCTATTAAAATTGCCTATGTTGTTCTAGTTTTATTTAAGATTTTTAGCTGTTGTCTGCTGTACCTTTTATCCCTCTCCTTTGGTTGTAACAAAGATTCATTTGCTCATTTACTGTTAGTGATCATCTCCCTCCATGCGTCTGCTGAAACCCTCCAAAAATGTTTGCAAGTTCTTGAGGCATAATTTAAATTGTAGAGTCTATCGGCAATCCTCACTTAACGGCCATTCGTTTAGCAACCATCCAAAGTTAATGGTGCTGAATGAATGGTTCTTACACCTATAAGTAACTGCCGTTGCAGAACCCCTTAGTCACGTGATCAAAATTTGACACTTGGCAACCCGCCCACATTTAAGTTCACAAGGGTGCTTCAACTCCTTCCCCATCTTCAGTGGTGGGTTTCAAAAATTGTTCGAACCTACTCTGTGGGTGTGGCCTCCTTTCTGGGAGTGGCTTGCCGCCCATGTGACCAGATATGAAGATGCCGACGACACTTGTCAGAACCACCTTGAATTACCTCACACACAGCACTGGCATGCATAAGAATATGATGTAAACTTGTTTTTTAAAAGGCATCTTTGGTTTGCGTTAAAACAACTTCAACACACGCAATGTTCTGATTGCACTACAAACGCAGTAGTCATCCTTACCTTTCACAGAGGCATTGAGTTTTGTAAATAGGAGCATGATAGTGTAGAATAATCATATCCAAGGACCAGTGATGGGTTTCAAAAAATTTTGGAACCTCTTCTGTAGGTGTGGCCTGCTTTCCGGGTCCACTGGCGGAACCTCTTCTAACCGGTTCGGTAGATTTGACGAACCGGTTCTACCGAATAGGTGCGAACTGGTAGGAACCCACCTCTGCCTATCTCCATGTACAGAGGCGCTCCTTGGTGGTAGTTCTAGGACTAAAGCAGCCTTCAGCAGTCTCAACTGGCTGCCCCCAGCCCAGATCTCTACTTCAGCTCCAGTCTTCCCACCATTGGGGAGTGCTGCCTCAAGCCCCATACCGTGGTCAGCCACCCCAGGGCCACAGCACAAAGCTGTGGCTCCCACCCTAGCACTCCGCAGCCATCTGACTCCTTTTAAGAAAAAA